ACCGCGCCATTATCCGCCATAAATGACGCTCATGGCGCAAACAAAAATTAGATCAAATCAGAAATAACAAAACAATTAAATTTAACTAAACAAGAATATTCTGAGTGGTCTGAAGCAAATAGGTCTTCAAGACAACTTTAAATTCAGAAAGCGATGAGATATTGCGAATGCCGAGGGGTAGTTTGCTCCAAAGATGAGGACCTGCGTAAGAAAATGATCGATGACCCCAAGATTTGTGAGTGAACCCTTGAACAGAGCGGGTAAGGCCGCCTACTGGTTTTTCCCATCCTTGTGCGCACATCCATTCACCGCACACGTGCAAGCGCGCGTGATTAGAATCAGCACATCACGTTATTTAAAATGACTTAATGAAATGGCTTCGATAAAAGCAGATTCCCACACTGAAAATTCTTAGATTGATAAAAAGATCGGTGTCTTTTTAAGGGCATTTTGATTCACGTCCTAAAACTGTTCCGTTACCTGATTAAACCTCGTCAAATGACTGTCCCATTATACAGACGGTAACGGCAGAGAAATTTGGTATGGGAGGGTGCAAGAGATAAGAGACCCCCCCCTAAAAAAATAAAATAAAATAAAAATCGAGTCGTTTCCGCTGTAAAGTACAAAACAGCTCATTTTTGTTATCAAACAGCAAGAATTATGTTCAGTTACCCAATTTTATGCTTGATCACAGGAAGTTGTATTTCGAGGAGCCTTCACCTTCTGCACTTCTTTCTGAGGACAGTGTGAGCGTCACCGGCCGTCAGACGGCAGCCTATCATCACCGGCCGAGCCCTGCATGGCAAATCACGGCGGTGGTGATCACCGAAGCCGTAGGTTTGAGTATAATCCGTTCGCAACAACGGCCTTGTATTCTCAACGAGCGAAGCACCATCGAGCAAAGCAATTAGAGGGATTTCTGGCTATCAATCCAGGGACCGGACATGCAACTTAGAGAAATCAGATTACCGAGAGAGACTGGACTAAACGGACGTGCAAATTTGTTCTTCCACAAGGTAAGAAGTTTTTTTTGACATTGTCATTTGTTGACGGCAAATATTTTTCCCTGAACATTTTAGCTGCATCAATAAAAGATGGAATAGTTATAATATGAATAGTTATGCGGTACCCGCTGCTATGTACATCAGATTCGAACCGGCCAACCGATCCCGTTAGCTCGGTGGTCGAGTGGTAAGACGTCTGCACTAGAAAACAGGAGGTCGTGGGTTCGAGTCTCACCCGAGTAATTTTTTTCCAACTTTCACTCGGGAGGCAACACACTGAGTATACAGTGTTTATACGTCGGTGAAGGGCAAAACCTAGTTTGATTTGCATCCGATAAACTTATGGCTGCGAGTCTGTCACAGACCCAGTGCGAGACTGCACAGACAATACTTTTCTTGTTGGACCAGTTTCGCAGTGTTTACAGCGTTTAATTAATTAATTGTCAAAATATCGAACCGTTCAGCGTGTGTATACATTTTGTATAGGTTTTCCCGGCCAATTTCCTGAAATGTGCATTCACTTCTGATAATCGGTCATTCGTTTTCGTCTGAATTTGAATGCACATCTTTAATCCCATTTCAATTCAACGAAAGTTCAATCGTTTTCATTGTCCGTGCATTCGGTTTTGAGAAACAGATGGCCGATTACGTTAACTGCGCATTCATTTAGGCAAGCATACCTTTTCTGAATTGATTTCAGGTACAGCTAATTTGATTGACGGTTAATGAAAAAGAAACCCCTCATTGTTTGTGGTGCCGATGGCGAAATAGAATGATGAATGTTTGAAATCGCCCTCTAAAAGCGAAAAAGAAATCTTGTAACGAATCTGAATGGACATAAACGAAAGGTGCTGCTCATTGAGTGAACTGAAATGGAATCGAATGCTCTGGTAGCGAAAATAAAACGCGTGTTCAGAGCGATTCTGAAATTCCGACGAAAATGAATGACCGGTTTTCAGAAGTGAATGAGTATTTTAGAAAATTGGCCGGGAAAACCTATATTTTCCAAGTGTTCGGTAAACCATGTTTACAGCTCAGCTTACACTCCCCAGACAGGGATTCGAATCAGTTCGACGGAGTTGGAATGAAATAATCGGTGACCAAACATCGATTGTACAAATGTATATCCCACTTTGTGTGCACAATTTCGATAAGGAGTGTCATATTCTGGGAGGGAGTCGAGATGATCGAAAGTGATTTGAAAGTGAGGTCAAAAGGGGCCAAGTCACTTGGCTTAAGTGCTGAAAATTCTTACCAAAGCACGTTAGGTAGGATACTTTCCATCCATGAATGTGTTCAGTTGTATGCAAAACATTCTCTGCGCCAAAACCCACAAATGGAAAGGCGGTGGACTGTGAAAATGCTTAGGGGTAACTTTAACACTTCACCGACACCTCAGTGTATTAGCTGTCTGCAACCCAGCAGTTGCGTACGTATTCATCCTTTTTGCATTCATGTAATACTAGCTGCCTGTACACTCAGTCTGCAAACACAGTGAAGTGACAAACACGTCATGTGCACTGAACAGAAGATAGACGCACAGCAGCAAATAACCAAAAGAAATATATTCAAATAATTATTGCCCAATCAACCACGAAAGTGAACGAGGTTCACATTTTAATCAAACCACGAAAGAACCCAAAAATTAATGTCTGGCCAGAGCAAGATTTCGGTTTGCGATTCCCAGAACACCGGGTATATTGAAACACAGTATGCCGAGATGGGATCATTTTGGTCACGAGCGGTTTCTTCTAATTAGTTGTTTGAAAAACGACCTTTGATCCGAGGTTATTTGTACTAGCCCGTAAAAAAACATGGATTTAATTAAAAGATCAAGATTTGCGCGTGTACGGATTACTGCATTGGTTTGTTTGACTTCAAACTTAATATCTCCGTCAGGAATTTCTACGTCTATACATTTGTTATTATATACAATGCAAGCCGAAAGACTAACACGCAGGTACAAATAGTGTGACATTTCACTTACAACCAAATTTAATTATAATGTAAGTAAAGAATCTTAAAGAGTTCCATAAACAGATCGTATTATAAAACCTTGTATTGATATTATTGATGCTAAGGAGGCGATGAATGGTAACGATATTTGTCATAAAAAAGATTTGCTGCAGTATTATAATACACGCACGTTTACAAGTAAGTATGCATACACTCTGGTTTGATCAGGGACGTCGCCAGGCCACTATGAAGGGGAGGGGGAGGTGTGGCGGCAAATTTGTCGTGCCGGGAAGGTAGCCATAATTATGGGGTAGGTGTGGGAAAAAGGTTAACTGAGGGGAAAGTGTGTCACACCCTCATATCTCTCTCCAGCTAGCAATGCTCGTTGGTTTGATGCGACTCTAGTTTTTGTGCAATCTCAACAACGCTAGGTCATTTGATTACAGACCAGCGGATACAAACAGCGCCCTCTTGTGATGAATGCACCAAGGGACGTCGAGCTGTCGGATGTGAAATTTCACAGGGACGTTTAACACAGAAGAAAAGTGCATTTGCATAAATACACTGGGCATTGGCGGATCTAGAGGGGGTTGTGGGAGGAAAGAAGTAGCAACCCCGTCAACCATTGTTATGATACTAGTAAAATGGGGCCAAAAATTATAAAAGGAATGCTAAAGTTCCTAAATGTATTCACAAATTGCCTTAAAATGCTGGAGAAAGCATCGTCGATTTCAATTTACTGCCGCCTAGCAAGACACGCCTTTACTCAACACCTCCCCAACCTTCACATTTCCTCCCCCCCCCCATTTCCTGAAAGCTAGATCCGCCCCTGCTGGGCTTTCATTCTTGCTGGATCGTTCTAACAAGATTACAGTCGGTGTTTGAATTCTAATTCATAATCGCACCTGCGAAAAGTCAGACGAAAATCACTTTTCTTCACTCCTTCTTTAAGTCCAGTCAGCGTGTAGTGTGTGCCGGCAACGCGGTCCCCATTGAAGCATGACGTTTTAAGGTCAGCCCAGAACAACATGAAACTAAACAGACATTCCAGGGACTACATGACATGCGCTTCGTACAAATAACAAGTGCCCCATGGGACACGGTATAAGGATTATCAGTCCAACAAGACATTGAAGACTACCAAGAAAGTTGCCCTGTTGTACTTTCGCTGGTTTTGATAATGTTCGAGAAGTCATTATTCTTATCCATCAATTTGGCAACGAGATTGTTCGAGTGCTGGACTGATTATCAATTTTACATGATCGAGCTTGGCGTATTTGTCTTGTAATTGTATTATATTGTTACTTTTTTTTTTTTTTTTTTAGCAAAGGTTCATTTTGAAATAATGTGGAGGGATGGGTCCGTTTGGTTCGGAGAGTGCGAGCATGCAGTCTTCCACTGAGACCAGAGCTGGAAATTGGCCACATCTTTTGGGTTTTTTTGCACCCCTTTCCCACCAACGTTGGTCGGTAAAGGTGGAGCTGACGGACGGTCATTCACGAAAGTTTGCGAAACGGGATGTCCCACATTTATTTGCAAATTGTCACCCTTTTATGTCCTCGGAAACTCTGTTACAATGTATGTGTGTGTGTGTTCTACCTCAACGAAATTGATCGTCTTAAAACATACACAGACTGAGAGTTTAATTAACAGTTTATTGTCACGATAAAGATGGTCGTTGCTATTTCATTGCTGAAACTGTTTAGGGTTGCTATCAATTGGTTAACATTCTTGTCTGTCTCGTGTCATTTTCCCCTCTTTGTTTTCTGTCGGTCATCTCCAATGACATTCGTCTTGTCAACTAGCCCCAAATGATTCGCCGTTGAATGATGGTACATGTATCGGTGCGATCCATTGTGTGCTCATGTACATGTACCATCATTCCGATCCTCGGTCTCCGCGGCTCAGTGATGGAAAGACATCTCCAGGGATAAAGTCAAGTGGTTAGGATGACCCATCATGGACTGACCGCCAATCGTAGACGATTCACGCGGGTTGGCATTCATTGGTTTCTTGGCTATATAGCTGCACGCCTCAGCAACCTCATTGAATTGCCGTTTGTAAAGCTGTAATAAACACCTTCCAGTCTGTGTTCAGTATGTGTATATCGCTGCTAACAAGCCAATGAAGTTTTTATACCATCTTGTTCCTCTCCCTTCTGTTAAAATCCCACTATAGTGCCTTTTGAAACTCTTGGCTTCCAATTACCGACGAAACAATACCTTGTTGTCCTATTTCCAGACAGGGGATTAGGCCTTAATCTGGGATCAGTGAGTGCCGACTCGGATTGTCTTTCACAGCTTGTGTAATCCGCGAATTATTGCTCTATCGGGAACGCGCTCTTTACAAGCAAACTCTTTTCACACGTCCACGCGGAAGAAGGATGCATCTTTCTCAGGACGCCGGTAGTGTTTGACGCACATGGACGTTGTCGTTAGTATGCAGGGAGTTCCTACGTGATTCCGAGCGCTAGGCCTCCTAGTAACTTGGATCTGTTTTCGTTCTCTACTGCTGGCCCCGGAAACTATTCCATCTGTGAAATCAGTTTCTTCATACTGTTTCTGTGTAGGCTCATGTGAAGCTCGAACACGGGGCTTGGTAAGTTTGCGAGATTTTGATATAGTTGGCACATTCGCCATTGGGATGTGATCAGACCATCAGACAAAAATGTCTGTTCCTTTCTTCAATGTGGAATCACCGGGGCTTCTTTTTTATTCTGGGATATGTTTCGCAGCACCTTATGACGATCACTAAGGTGAGGGTCGATTTGAGAAAGTAAATGTCCAGTTTATTTTCCATTCATCGAATGATGGAAAAGATTTGTTGAATACACATTGAGGATTTGTGGTATTGGTATGCACTTATTGATTATTCAACTACTTAATAATGCATGTACGTCACAGCATGTTTCTGTACACTGTTAGTATGTGGGACAGAACAGTTTCGGTTATGGTGAGTGGGGAGGGTAAGTTAGTTAATTATTTCTTTCCCAAAATGACTTATGTTGTAAGCATTTAAAACTTGAGTCAAACGCATGATCAACTTCGTGATCCTGTCATCATTAATTGCCAATCTGAGAAGCGGCGTTCTACCAACTGAGGAAGCCAGTTCGATGCTTACTTTTTGTTGATTGGTTTATTTCCTGGCGGGCGTGTTTCCTTTTTAAGGCGAAAACCGTGCGGTCGTTTAGCATGGTTGTTGGTTCAAAAAACATCCTATAATATTTATAGACTTTTAATTAGGCTCATTATTTCTCGAGAGCCAAACATGTACAGAACTTTAGGAAGTCACATGCACGCGAGTGGGAAAGTGCACTGTAGCATATTTGTAAACCTCAAAAATTGTTTTCAATGTTTCTAGACATGAAACCTTGTATTTGCACACAAAATTCTCTTTTCATTATCCGACCACCCTTTTGAACCGCCACAAAGGACAGTCTGTCGTCGGCGCTAAATATATCTGACAAACCACACAAACATCAATCAAAAAATCGGATTGTCTGACTTTGTTTTCTTTGGTGGTCTTGCCAAGGTTGTTGGGATTACATAAAATACACAGACGGTAAATCGGCATGCAGGTGCGTGACCATCACTCGGGCAGGGATGTTTCACCTCAAGGGCTGCCGGCTGACCACAACGCGATGCAAATTTCCCCTGTACATAGGCCTACTCCCGTGATCTGAGTTGACTTCAATTTTTTGTCTGCTCATCGCTCCTTATGTCTACATGTACTTCTCGCTCCTGTACCTAAAATCTCATGGAGACATGACGAGAGACTTCTGACACCAAATATACAAACAAAAAGAACAAAACAGCCACAGCTATTTCACACCTAAGCGATGACATTTCTAGGCCAAACACGCATTCTGGGGTTGATGGTACTTGGTTAACTTTTGGCAAGTCATGTTTAACGTATCTTCGGAACCTGCCATTTGTCAGTGCCGCGTTGTATGTTAATTTCAATGGCAAACAAACCATTATTAAAATTTGGCCCATATTTGAAAGACTATCAGTTTTACTCCACTGAAAATGAACGTAGGCCCTAGTTTTTGCGAAGGGAATTAGGCCATTCCACCGATAAATTTGTTTGAGCCTGGACTAGTCCACTATATGCTGTGGCCGTTTAAGTCCTCCATTCAAGTCTTCATTTGACACGGTGTTAAAGAACTGAATATACACACTTATGAAATTGCGCTGACGAGGGGAAGTACCCTATATTAAAAAATTCCACAGACGAGTTGGTTGCGATGTTTTTGTCATCGATGACATATTCTACTGTGCTTGCAGATACTTAGGCCTATTGGGAAAAAATTCTTCCCTCCATTGCGCGCGTGCTTGTCCTTAATGAATCTCCGTGCGCAGAACGAAAAACCAAAATGAAAAGTGTGCGATACGTCAATACATGGAATATGGCAATCTGAATGTCGCTTCTCATTTCAAATCTCGGCAAATTCAAAACTTTCAACCGCAAGCGAAATTAACGTTCGTACTTCACATACAGCTTGAGGCCATTCTCGTAAAATCTGGCATGATGACATTCCGAATTCACTATGGCAAGAGATACTTCTCAACTACATGCAGTATGTTATCATTTGTCATCTGTCCATCCTATAGTCTCTCCCACAAGAAGTTATCTTTCTATTTCAAAGTAATGCATGGGATCTCAATAAACCTAGAGTATAGTTGGCAGATCATGACTGGACTAGCAGTGCATGCCAGCCCGGCAGTACACATGGTAGGACAAAAGCGATATACAAACACGACACAATGTATGTACATATATACGTTTACATTTTCCGTACATGTACATGTACATTGTACATGTACATACATGTGTGTACATTGTACAAATATACACACAGTACATTGTGTAACACCCGTCACATAGCTTCATTCATTTCACATTACATGTAGCCTACCACTGCATCCAGGAGAGACTTGTTCTACGAGCGTTCGTTAAAATGTTGCGCCAAGCTTCGAAGTGATTTACATTGACAAGATTCTGTCCAGCCGACGGACAGTATAGTGCCATGCCGAATTTGTTTTTGCCCGGATTTTGCCGAGTTGCGTCAAACGTCACGATACCACCCAGGACTTAAGAACTAGTCCACAGAATGCGCAGTTACCACCAGTTTCCAAACCCGAGGCAAGAAGGTAATGCCATTCAGAGCATAGCGGACCGGTCTGTGGGTGCACGGGTACGGGTAGGGGGTGTGACACTGCTCCTCGATCGGTTCGGGATTTAGAGCATCATTCGGCAAATGAACCGCCACATCAAAACACAGAACACCACGGACTCATTAGAGAGAATGTGCCTGCCTCCCATTCATCGTTTTTGCGTGAACATCGTCGTCCTGCACAGGCAAAATCATGTGTCTGACTTCTTTTTAATTTTGCAGCGCGTAAGATTTTGTGGCAGCACGTACGGAAATCGGTGCCAAATCGGTGCTTTCTCGGCAAATTTTTGCCATTTCACTGGGTCTGGCGACGCCCCTGATTAAGAGTATGATCAGGTAGCCTAAAAGCAACATGTAGTTGGTCCTAAACGATTAGTGTTCCCGAACAAGTAAAGTTCAGAAAGGACAGAACATATTTTGATTGGATTGTCTTGGTCGAGCGCCGGACCGTTATGTTCACATTAGATTTGTTGATCAAGGCGATAAGGCGCGGCACGGAGCCTGTCCTATGTTGACTGGATTGTCGGGACCAGGCTATAATCCGCAAATATTTGCCGCTTTGTTTGTTTGAATTTGGGACTGGCATAAAGTGGCGTGCTTAAACATTGCAACTCATTAAAACCTTTGGTATCTATGATCAAGCTACTACTGCATCGGATGATGCGAACAGTGTTTTGACGTATATACACATCCGTCAGTTGAGATATTGCATCTCAGCATACGACCGTTTCTTCACTCACGAACATGAGAACATGATTCCATCATCAACTATCATTAATATGCACCTTTGGCCTCGGGATATTTAATTATCTGACTTGGGCAACCTGGATCTTTGTCCATTTTCTGCTTGCGAAACATCAACTTAAATATTTCCAGAACCCACTTAATCTTCTTTGATATTCACATGATATTATCCACAGGCCTTTTTCAGTTAGCTTGTGCTTGTTGTAGTATAGGCCTAACATCGTTTCCCTACCGTGTTCTCATAGGTGCACGCAAAAGATATACACTGTAACAACAAGAAAATACTGGAAATTCATTTTTAAATTCATTTTAGTAACTTTGATGACAACATACGTGCACGTACATTGTTGTCATCAGTAAGCAATACATCTGTTCCGCTGATAAAATATAAGTTTATCTTGTTTACACGTGCTCAGTTTTGAATGTCACAATGACCCGAGTGTCTGACCCAGATTATAAATGCGATAATGATACGCACTGGAGAGAGGTTTAGATTGCAACGAGAACATTTTGGTACTGTGCTATAAAACATGATGGATGCGGGCTGTCGGCCTTGCCATTGCTTGGCAGAGTTCATTTTAGTACAGCATAATTCACAATGAATTTTATCCCTACAGGTCTGTCGTGTACCAACTAAAGCAGTGTTTCCATCTGATAGCAACGAGCCTGACCCAGCTATTGTAACCCCAGTGACTGGAGAGTTCCACAGGAGACTGACCGGGACTCACAAGGTCGGTGTCACACGCTCCAAATAAGTGGTGAAAATACCGAAGCCGGTTTACGCCCAGCCTGGGACCCGCGCATTACATGACGGTATTTTTGGATGTGAACATAATTAATCCACCTGTGTTGCACCTGATGCAGCGACCCTAAGGTATTTTTCAGTCAACGAGCCACTGGCTCTCCTAGCCTGTGCGTGGACATCACCTTCGACTGGGCGGAAGCTGGGAGGTGTTTGTATTCTCGCCTGACAATCGAAAGCTGTCCATGCACCCACTCTCTGAAAACATTACCACGGAGGCGGTTGCCATGCCAACCAAGATGTCCAGATCCAACTCGCCGCCCAACAACAACGGTAGCGCCTACATGAGCGGGCTCAAGCGCAAGGGGTCCACGGTTCGGCGGAATGGCGTGGCCCAGGCCAAACCCTTCAAAGTCATCGTGCTGGGACAGGCTTCCGTCGGCAAAACAGGTAAGCATTTTGAACTTGGTAAATTGAAAAAGCAGCCGAAACGAGATACGCCAGCTGAATATAGGTGGTGTCAATTTAAGCATATGTGCAAATCCACAGGTCAGTCCGATTCCACAGTATGTAGTGTTACTCTTACGTAAAATAATCGGATGACAATATCTGAGAGGTTTGTCATGTAAGGAAACTACCCTAAAGATTGAGCTTATACTTCGGTTGAGTAGCCGTTTACGTCTTGTGAAGAAATCCACACAACCGGTGTAACCTATGAGCCTTTACCTTTTACCATGGAGGAAGTAACATAATTCAAACTGCATTTTTCACGTGCTGGTATTGTTAGGTCTATGGCTTTTGCTGTGTTGTTCTCACTTTTGTTTTGGTCCTGGGCAAGGATGGCCTTGTGTCGGACGATATCCATAAAAACGTAGTGCAGATTGTTTATGAGTATTGGGTAACTTTGACAGCAACGAAGAACGTAGATCCTGTTATACTCCCGATGAAGTATACAAAAGTTAAAGGGTGATGAGAATGAGGACACTCATTGGCGAAGCTGTAGGTTTTAGCAGGGATATGTGTATTAACATTAAAAAGCGCCATGGTTTTAGTCGCTGTACTTGCTTTGAGGTTCCTTCCGTCAGCCTCATCACGAAGTGTTTGTTACTGTACTAAACTTAAGGGAAATCAATTGTAATACATGTATGTCTTCTCTCCTCTCCCTTATTAAATTCAACGGAATTTCTTGTACTGAATCCGTCACCAATAACGCGATTAGACAAATACGTTTTTTTGAAATACATGTATAATGTCAAACATTCTTATCATTGACCCTAATTGGGACAGACCCTAATTGGGACAGACCCTAATTGGGACAGACCCTAATTGGGACAGACCCTAATTGGGACAGTTACCTACTGGGTGATACTGTACTTTTGTCAAAATTCCGCGGTTACGTTCACAGCAATAATAGATGGCTTACAGTGACACCCATGATAGAATTTTGCGCTGAGAATATTTGGTTTTGCCTTCACCCATATCGGTTAAAGGCAAAACTCAGAATAACATGTCAAAGATGTAGATAACCTCTTTGCAAATATTGAATTTCAGGCCTTTTTATGAGAAGCCAGGGATTAAAAGTCAAGCTAACTGCTCTTACGAACTCGATTCGCCAGTTCGTTGCGCTGAATCGCCAAATTAGAATTAAATAAAGCGAGTCAGAAAGACTCCTTCTCGCACTCGTTTCTTCGTAAGTTTCCAAGCTAAGACCCCATTCACCCAAACGAAGCAAAGTGCTCATGGCAGTCCCCTGGTCCATACCAAAAACACGGTTCGGAAGCTTCCCACAATCTCGGTATTTTACTTCGCAACTTCTCTGTCTTGGGCCTTTGGGTCAATAACTTCAACCACATGGGAAAGACTGCAGGGTGGTTAGCCTCGATGTACTCCACTCCTAATTACTGGCGCGGGCGCGTAACCCTCCCTAGCGGTTATTGACATACCTCCATACACGCTGCTTTCACCCACCAATCTCATAAAGCCTTTCTTTGCCGCTAATCCCATTTGGGAGAGAAAAGAGTTGGGGTTTTAAAAAATAAGGAAGTGGGATAGAAGATGTTGGGGCAGATGAATGTTGATTATTCAACAGTCCGTGATGCCTGTCTCGCCGTGAGAGCCGGGTTCCTCGAAGGGGAAGAATCGCCCGAATCACGGTATACCCTGTTGAACTCTTTGTCCGCCAATCACCCTCCCGCCCCTCATGTTTACTGACAGGCGCCAAGGCCCTGATGCCCAATCGCAACTTAAAAACACTTGAGCAGGAATGTTCAGTGCTTAAGCCAGGTAATTTCTCAGTCTGCATACACCTTGGAAATTGAAACAAATGTCAAAAACATTAAGCAAAATAATTACTGAGAATATCAAATTTATTGTTAGTCGTGTTTTACTTTCTTGGGGAAAGGACTGAATGTGCAAGCATTGTTGTCGGTATTAGTCTTTCTAATATCGTAAAATGAATGGGGTTATATCAAGTAAGGCAAAAACAATTCCACTTTTGATTGTTTTTGTTTCTTTTCGTTTGGATGACGCAGCAGTCTTAAATTAACGAACTTTGGAGGTCTAAATGCTATAGACAGTGAATTTGATCATAGTTGGCCTACATGTATGCATATTGCATATACAATTGTATGCCTATTGCTAGTCCAATCCGCTTGGCGATGGTTAAAAAGATTCTTCAAAGTCTGGGGACTAGCTACTCGGCACGTACCCGCATTGGATGCTGCGGGTTCAATGTATTTTAAGTCTTGTCAGTGTCTGTATAGTGTGAGAGTACTTGATGACCCAGAGTGTGTTCATCAGATGACTTCCGTGTGTACCCTATTCAAACGTCTCCTCACTGTTGTGTCATACTCTCGCTGTTTCCCAAAGAATTCCCATAGAACGGGACGACCGATCTTCTCGTAATATATTCTCAATGCCACCTCATTTTTGTTGATACGGTAAATGTTTGTCCTCCAATCAAGGCCGGCAGTACTAGTAAGATGCGTTAGTAATAGTGACATTCTAGGGTTTTTTTTGGTTCGGCGAAACCAAAGCAGCAATCTAAGTGAAAACACCGGTCGCTATAACTTGCTTTTACGGGAGGCAGTCGCTCGCTCCTTTGACATTCACCGCTTCTGTCGCAAAACTTTTTGTTCGGGGTAAATCAGGCCCGTTTAGGGACAAAAGACGGTCGTGTATCCCCCCCCCCCCGCCCCGTATAGAGACTGTCGTAAATCTGCTACACGTATCATATTTTAGAGAGAAAAGATGCCCTCAGATGCAAAATGTCTTGTCCACCGTCGATTGTACATGCATTTGAGTGTTAACTGTAATTTGTCTTTTGGAATTACATGTATGTCACTTTGGTTACCGTCAACGGCAATTCAGTGTTTTACCTCAACTGTAACACAATAGCGCTATACAATGAGTGACAATGCATTGTCCGTTGCTTTGTACATTGGGTTTTTAGTTTATCTCCACTCCCGGAGCTTTTTGTCCATGAGAGTTGTGATGTTTTCCGAGTACTAATCCCCCATTTTTCACCTGTTTAGTTACCCAAACACCATTATTGCTCGCGATTTGCAAGTGACAGGTCGTCTTCCCCTAGCGAATAAAGCAGAACACCTACAACGTTGTCTTCTGATTGAGCCGCCAACCAGAACAAGAAACCCCCGCGCGCCACCAGCTTCTCCCGACAATAATCTACCAGCAGACTAGCTGACTTGAAAAGGTGCACGGCGTGGTGAAAAAAAATCCAATTCCGTCAATCCGCTCCCCCGGGTCGGGGCCCAGTGTGTAACCCCAGCGTGCGTGCAACCGGGAAGCTGAAGGCATCCCGTCTCCGTCCGCTCCAGAGGTTTTTCTTCAAGACTTTTCCCCTTGGTTTTCCCAGGGGTTGTTTTAGTTGCCATTAGAGGTCCCCAAAGAGGGATAAACCGAAACGGGATTTTGTAAAGTGGCCAGATTTAGATGTTCCCCGGGGGAACAGAAACCGTAGAGGAGCAGTGGGGAGGCATTGTCTGATTTCACTCCCGCTGAATCGGGCTTTGTGGCTTTTGCCAAGGCTTTGTAGCAAACCTCTCACCTGTCAGAATTGGTTTGATCCCGGCCGGCTTTCCTCTTGTAACTCGAGCGTGAATGCATGCCTTAAAAGCAAGCCCATAGACGACAACGTATCGGTGAACCTTCAAAATCAATTGCTGTACTTGTGTGATGGTATCGTACTTTATGTAGACCAACTTTTTATCAAAGTTTTCCCCATGAAAACGTGTTGTGTGCGCTGCCTCAATCTCGCGGATTAAACAATAAGCCGCGTCATTCATTTCTATAAATTCTCGGCTTGGCGCCATATGAAAACAGAACCGAAATACGTGACGGGAATACGGTTTAGGCCTAGGTTTGCTGGCATGGTCGGACGGTCAAATTGACAATGTTGCAAAGGTTTAAGACCTTGTTTGATTCACATTCCAGTCATCAAAAGCCGCAAATTAACATAATGCAGGTGTTTCAACATGAAGCGTTCTTGTAAACAATTTTTGGAGAGAAACAATTTCTACCCTCTACCGAAATGGTTTTGTGTGCTGGCTTCTCCTTTACACCAACAAGTCTGAATCGTGCTTGAAAATTATATTTACTGTTGTTGAAGTGAAACAGTCAACTAGAAGCCAGGGCTCAGTTTGTTCATAGAGATAGGACACATTTGTCTATGGTTTGATTAAAGTACTATGGGAACTTGTACACACTTCAAGCAGGAACCGTTTCTTAACAAATGTATATGTACCACAAGTTAAAAACATCAGCTAAGAACAAGGCGCAAGTAATATGCATTACATGAAATTAAAGTTGGGCTGACCAGTACCAAACTTCTGCTGAGCAAATTCGTTAGGATATTTCTGTGTTCAGAAACCCTTTGTCACTTTGAGACACACGTCGAAGTGGACCGAGTTATTTTCGTGGTTCTTGCGATCTTATCCTGTCAAATGATTTGACATTGTTTGGCAAGCCTATCTAAATTTGCTCTTTGATAAGCTGTTGTGGTTAACAGCATTTCGAGGTAGGTTGAAGAAGGACAGAGCCAAAGAACTTAAAGGAAATTCTTTTCGCTGAATAGCATGATATCCGGGGGGGGGGGGGGTGTGAACAAGATTTTTAAGTTGGTATCATGTCGGTTTAAAAAACACCGTTAGCTTAACGTCTCAACAAGAGCTTGTCAAAGCCGGAGAGCATCCTCGTTTTCGCACGCGCCGTAATATTTTGTTTTACAATACAGCACGGGAACATTTCATGATGTCTACTTTCCATCAGCATGAACTATTTCATCCTGTCGTTATCTAGTAATTGGGTCATCTGTATTCGAATAAAATTAGAACGAGAACCATAATTGACAGACTTGGCTGCTCAAACAACCCGAACAAGCTAAATGGAGAATGTCAAGGAGACGCGTGCCCATCCCACCCGCCGCGTCGGTC